TAAGCTATGCTGTGACAAGGAACTGTGAGGCGAGATAGAAAGATGGAAAATTCTGGGGCCGTGGGAAAATAAAGGAGCCCTCACCAGAGTCTCGTCTGAAGCCTCTCACCAACCAGTTGTCAAGAATTCCAGCACAACTTAAAACATTTGCTTAAGGCCTTTTTCCTGTCTCAACTGAAAACCTGCAGTTTTCTAGGACTCTCACCAGAAACCCCCTTATAGTAAAAGATCGTGTTCTGACCCCTTTGTACAGTCCTTGTTTTTTCTTATCAGATTGTAGTCCCATCCAAGACAGTGATAGAGCACTCTGGAGCTACCATATAATCTCATTTATGAAAAAAAGAAAAAAAATGGGGGCTGGGGAGTTGGCTTAGTTGGTAAAGTACCTGCCATGCAAACTTGAGGACCTGAGTTAGATACTCAGCACCCATGTAAAAAGCCAGGCTCATTGCCTGGAGTGTCTGTAATCTCAGTGCTGTGAAGGCAGAGATGAGAGGATCCCTGTCTAAAACAATGAATTAAGATTATGCACATATCATGTGTCTACACTAAAAGCTTTGCAAACATCACACGGATTGTACCCACTGGGGGTGTGGTTCAGTGGTAGAACACTCCTGCAGGAGGCCCTAGGTTCAGTCAGCACTGCACAAGAAAAATAGATTGTTTCTGATCTAACAGTTGCTCAAGTGTTTCATTAACTGTTTTTAGAAAAAGCTTTGTCTTACAACTACTTATCATAAAACCTGCTTTTTCTATTGTTTGTCCAGACATACAGCTTCTAACCCTTCTGCAAATCCTTCTGCCAGGAACCTGTCTAGAGACTGAGAGCTGGCACTGTAGTTTGGGGTTTGGTGTGTCAAACTTAGAGGTAGGACCAGCACATGTAACATTGTAGCAAAGTAAATCTATAGAGATTTCTTTTTCCAGCAGACTAGATGTTGAGGGGTTATGCCTGATTACAAGGAGGCATTTTCTGCTTACTAATACTATATAAAAGTGAATGTTCTTAAATAGAATTCTTAGTTTTTCTTCGTCCTTGGTCCCCTTTCAGTTGAATCAGTGTTTGATCATTGCCAACCACAATCAAGTCACTGTTCTGGATCTCTTTTGTGTCCATATTATTAATATTTTGAGGTTCATTTGTTTGGGACAGGGTCTCCCCGTAACCTCAGTTTGTTTGTTTCTTTGTTTATTTGAGACAGCATCTCCCTATAGCCCCAGCTGGCCTGGAACTCACTACATAGACCAGGCTGGCCACCATATCATAGAGCTTTGCCTGCCTCTGTCTCCCAAGTGCAGAGATTAAAGGTGTGCATGGCCACATCCAGATTAATTTTTAAATTACTCACTTTTTAGAACTTGGTAATTCATGTGCTTTTGTATATAAATTGTATAGTGAAAACGTCTTCCTTGTATCCCAGCACCTGACCTCTTAAGCTGCTCTGTTCTCAGATGCTGTGCGCCTCTCATGGTTAGAGCTAGCCTACTGTGATAGACTTTTTTTTTTTTTTTTGGTGGTAGTGGTCCTTTCAATGAGCTGTACCCACTTGTATTCAAGCCCTATGTTAATTTATTTCCATCTCCATTGTATTTGGCCATGTGACTGGCATTGACCAGCAGAGAATTTTGATAGTGCTCACACATTGAGACTGTTCTCTGGAAATGCTTACTGTTATGACACTCATCTCAGACAGACCTCAGGAGCTACAACTTGTGAGATCCCTACCTAGTCATAGGGAAAAACTGCACAGGAGTACAAAACACAGGTACTACTAACATCTAAGCTGACCTTCTAGCTGTCAGCTAAAATAGATTAGCATCCATGTGATGAATGAAACCATCTTCTTCTCCAGCCAGTTCAGGCCACCCCTCATGATGCTATGTGTAACAGATGAGCTTTCCTTGCTGAGCTTATCCAAGATAAAAAATCTGTGAGCTGTCACTGTGAACCATTATTTTTGAGTTGTGTAGCAATAGAGAACTGAAATGTGTATTACAAATAATATACATTC